AGCGATCTCACCCAAAACACGGAAAAACACATGACGATCGCTCAGACAGTCCTTCCGCTAGCCAGGTACTCTTCACTCATGCAAAACACAATATAATAAAGATACATAATAATACAGTCTGTGACAAAAATAAAAGAAGTTTTTAGGATTTGTTACAATCGTTTCAACTTTACGATACGTGAACTTTAAAACACTCAGACACACAGACTCGCATACAGACAGCGTTTGTATATTTTAATATATTAGTGTTTTATAGATAAAAGCTTGTTATAATAACTCAGTGCGTTGGAGATGTTAGTTAACAATTTACAGTGCTGAACGATAACCATGCCGTAACTGATGTTACCGTAATCTCTTCTAAAACTCACCAATTCTAATAGTTTAAAAAAAAGCTCCTTGCTCGAACATTCCTTATTCTAACATTTTTTTTCATATAACATTCCCCCACTATAACAGTTCCTTCCTCTCACATTCCCTTATTCTAATATAATCTTATTGTATCAGTAATCCATAATCTAACCTTCCCCTTCCGTAAAAGTCCCTTACCCAAACAGTACCTTACTCGAACCTACCCCTTTCCTAACTCCCTTACAATACCACCTGCCCCCCCCCCCCCCCCCCCCCGAAGAAAGTCAACCGCCTCCCCGGACGAGATGGAATTTATATAGTAAACATATACTTTTACTAGTGTCCGCCCCCCACCCCGGAAAAGGTAGACCGTCCCACCGAAAATACCAAGTGCCCCCCCCCCCCCCCGAAGAAAAAAAGTCTGGAAGAAACACTGCCCCCCCTTTACCCCCCCCCCCCCCCCCCCCCCTCATACGTCTGGTAATTTGTAATTTTTGACCGTGACAGAGCTAGACCGCCATTGCATCATACACGGCGTTCTATGGATACTGGTTAACACGTGAATTATTCACACACTTTTTGTGGGGACAGATGTAGAAAAAACAATCGTGTGAATAGGGGGAAATGGATGTGGGACCAGCAGACTTGTCGGTTTAAAGTTAATCGGATTAAGCAGTGCGTCGAGTCGGCTCTGGACCTGGTGCTATAGCTGTGTCTAGTTCTTGGAGATGTGTCTTGTTGTTGTGTAGGAGATGTGTCTTGTTGTTGTGTAGGAGATGTGTCTAGTTGTTGTGTAGGAGATGTGTCTAGTTGTTGTGTAGGAGATGTGTCTAGTTGTTGAAGACGTGTCTAGTTCTTGAGAAGGACATGCGTCTAGTTATTGCCTTAATAGAGGCTAAGTTGAATTTCCAGTCATTTCTAATAGACTAAAATAGATTTTAAGTACTATGTCAAGTAAAGCCCTACAGGTCTAATTCGATGTCTATTCAAGCTTAAATTCTATGTCCTGCGGAGTTGAAATATGTCCACTAGAGCTTAAATACTATGTCAGTAGAGGTCTAGTTCTATTTCAAGTTCTATGTCCAGTAGGGGTCTATGTCCAGTAGAGGTCTAGTTTTATATCCAGTAGAAGTCAATGTAACGGACACCAATCTATCAGCCAGATAGATGGCGAACGCTCCCGGATTCGTTTAACTGATTACACACAGATGGCGACAAGCCTAAATAAAAGAAAGTTAACACACTAGTTCGCTAGGACTCGTAATTGATGTCTAGGGGAAACACTAGAGAAACTACTGATGCCAACAATACCTTTAATCTGCATATAACTTGCAATGAGTGTACAAAATCGTGGCAGAACACTAGATTTATACAGGAATAAAATAGATTTACAGAATGAACAAAACCCAACTTACTATGTGTGGGAAATAATAATATGATACACTATCACAGCTTTTAACACTTCAGAAAAATCACCACAGTTTACACAACGCTGCTATAAGCATAAAGAATTACTTAACCACAAGTAATATAATAATATGCTACTTAAACAACTTAGTACTACGCGGCAACACACGGGGCTTATGTCTCTACAACGACGTCTGATCAATGAACTGCCTCGAGACACCTGTGGGCAGTCTATTTTTAGACTTAGGCAACATGGAAGGTCACCTCCAAATCATAAGGCCATTGGTTGGGGTGGTCATCTGGTCTGAATCAATCAATCATCTCTTGATGGAAAATTTCTGAGTCTAAGACTCTCTTAGTAAGACAGCGGAAAAAACCGGTCATTGCACCACAGACCATATATGGTATTATAACAAATGTCAAACTAAAAATAAAACATTACTAGACCTAAGTAGGTCACATCAAGCTCTATGTTCAGTGTATATGTCCAGTAGAGGTCAAGTTCTATGTCCAGTAGAGGTCAAGTTCTATGTCCAGTAGAGGTCAATTTGAATCTCCAATAGAGGTCAAGTTCTATGTCCAGTAGAGGTCTAGTTCTATGTCCAGTGGAGGTCAGGTTCTATGTCCAGTAGAGGTCAAGTTCTATGTCCAGTAGAGGTCAAGTTCTATGTCCAGTAGAGGTCTAGTTCTATGTCCAGTGGAGGACAGATTCTATGTCCAGTAGAGGTCAAGTTCTACGTCCAGTAGGTCTAGTTCTATGTCCAATTGAGGTCAAGTTCTATGTCCAATTGAGGTCAAGTTCTGTCCAGTAGAGGTCTAGTGCTATGTCCAGTAGAGGTCAAGTTCTATGTCCATTAGAGGTCAAGTTCTATGTCCATTAGAGGTCAAGTTCTATGTCCATTAGAGGTCAAGTTCTATGTCCAGTAGAGGTCAAGTTCTATACTCCTATGTGTACCTCCATAAACCAACACACTCGCCGTGTCAGCACACGCCAGCCTAACACCATGACCTGTCCGAACAGCTGTTCACTGGTCAAACGCTGTTATCTCTTGTACGCTGGCCGATAATCCGATAATCCGCCGGCATAAGTTGCCCTCATCTGTGTCACCATGGCAACCAATTACGTTTGTTCAAATAATTTTCTCGTACTCCCCCCTTCAACTTTTTGGCTAGACCCGGCACACCAATGCACTGAAAACAATGTTGGTAGAAGGGGGGGGGGGAGGGGGGGACCAGGCGATCGATTCTCCGTTGTAAAATTGCTCAGTCGTTAAATATCGATTAGCGAAAGATGATCTGGTCGATCGAACGGTCAGGCGGTCGAGCGCTGGTCTAGAAATAAAGACAAAGTCGTTTTTCAACGGGCGGGTGTTTAGTTTGAGTGGTGGAGTACTACAGTGACTGTAGTATAAACGTTGTGAGAAAGTAATCAATGAAATGTAGTCCAAATGTAAGAAAGTAATCAGTGAGATATATTACTAACGTTGTGAGAAAGTAATCAGTGGAATGTAGTACAAACCTTGTGAGAAAATAATCAATTGAATGTAGTACAAACGTTGTGAGAAAGTAATCAATAAAATGTAGTACAAACGTTGTGAGAAAGTAATCAGTGGAATGTACTACTAACGTTATAAGAAAGTAATCAATGGAATGTAGTACTATGTTTAGAGCTTCAGTTGTTGTATTAGTTATTTTCTGAGACGAATAGTTTACAATACGTGAACCAGCACCTGCTATGTGATGTTATTTACTGTCTTTCTGATACGTTGCTGTCATTTCGTGGTTTCACTGTCTGTAACTGTTTAGCTCCGAGTCACACAGTGAAACAGACTTCACATTTAGCTCGAGATCCTGATTGAATTTTTTTTACCATACATTTGAAAGTTAAAAGCATTTTGTCGTTTCTGATTCTAGTCTAAACGCCTTGGTCGATATGGCTATCATTAGGGTGGGGTTTTTTTTACTGCTTATTAACTAGGACAGTTTGTTCTGCGGTTGATGTCTATCTGCGAAATCCAACTTTTTAAGTTGTTTATTCCGTTGGATTCCAGTTAGTCTAATTTCTGTAGCTGTTTTCATAATTCAGCCAACTAGTCAAATAAATACCTGTGTTACACTCCATTTTGTTCTATAAATGTATATAGTATCTTGCTATTGTTATAATCTTACTACATGATTTATCGTATTAGAGTTTTCTCCAAAGATAGAGCATAAAATAACTGGACTAAACTAATTAGCACCTGCTACAAACTACTTTCTATATTCAGATCAGGCATGTCTTCTTTTGAATATATTCATTCTTTTTAATAGGATAACGAATGATATTGGCGTCGAGTATAGTGTTAGAAAACGAAATTCATACATTCACACACATAGTAATTAGTAAGTCTTTTCCGAACAGTCGCTTAGATGTATATATATATATATATATATATATATATATATATATATATATATATATATATATATATATATATATGGGGCGCCGGGGTGGGTTGCTACGCCTCTGCTGTTAACCAAATAAGTCTATTTTCTTAACTTTGACTCTGAGTATAATTCAGTAATAAAGCTCATAATGTGCTTTTTCATTTTTCTCTATCCTGCTTGGCGCCCAAGTAGAGTCGGCGCTCGGGGCGAAGGCCCCCACCCGCTTCGCCTAGCTACGCCTCTGCTTTCCTCCTTGAGTGTAATACTTTAAGAATTTAAAAGTTTATTCCTGAAATAGGAAACACGCTTAAAATATGTATTATTATTTATTGTAAGTAAAATGTGTAGAGATATTTAACAAATCGGATGGATATTTTTTTTTAAACTACCTAAATGTCGATACTTATCCATATCTGTACACTGTCCGCAGTGTTAAGTGTACCACCATTACCATACACCAACCTGCATATTAAAATGTTACAATATGTACAGAACCAATATACCCTCCCCTTATTATATTGGCGACAGGTTTGCCACATTGCACAGCGCTTTACTGTAGTACTCTCCAGTTTCTTTGCCTGGCAACCTCATAGTATGTTAAATTGGTTTCTCGAGGTCAGCTAATTAATCACAGCTCGCATTTCCCCCCCCCCCCCTCCCCCTTTTTTTGGTTACATAGGCAGATTGAGTGGGAATAACAAAAGGGGAAGTAATCGCTGGTCGGTTGGGTGGAATTATCTCCCCTAGTCATAGACGTGTGTAGTAGCACACTGGCCACTAAGAGGAAGCTTTTGTTTTTTTTTATGACGTGTGTGTAGCAAGTATGTAACTGATTGAACAAGCCGTGTTGGGATCTATTCAACAAAATAATAAATACCCTGTGTGTGTTATTCGATGGATCTTACCTAAAACAATTTTCGTTGGATACATTTTTCTGACTTGACGCTTGCTGCGACTGCGCTATGTAAAAAAAGAGGCGGAGCCCTAGCCTCCATGCTGAAACAATCCATGGATCACATTGACGTCATCACCGACACCCACGTCAAAAACGGTGACGTCACGCTCAACGGCAAGGCGTCACACAAACGACGAGCGCCGGAGCCGTTTCCCGCGGCGCCGGGGCCGGATTACGGCTCCAGCTTGAAGCGGGAGCCCCGGGCCCCCAAGAATGAGCTGCAGGCTGACCACTCCAAGGTTTGTCAATGTCCAGTCAATGTGTGTCTGTGTCCATTTCGTTGACATAATTTGTCAATGTCCCTCCGTACACTTTCAGTAAAGAATCTGTCCCTTTGTAGATTATAGTTATTCCCCCTCCCTCTTTTGTTTCAACAGTATCGACAACATAATCCTGGTTCTAACTCTAACCCTGACCTTAATCGTGATATTATTCCTAGCCCTGACCCTAATCCTAAGCTGGATCGTAATATCGATACCAACCGAAAAAAACTCGATACTCCACGTGTTATACCCTACAGGCACTCGTTAAAAAAGAATCTGTTTTTTTAGCCCGCCTTTTTGCGTGTGGGATATGTGAATTTCTTTTTCTTGATACTATTGGCTTAACCGTACCACCTCATCCTAGTTTACTACGTTACTCTACAGAATCAAGTGAAATTACAAACATGTTCTATATTACAACCGTAAACCGAGAGTTTAATTGTCGTATCTTTTAAGTGTTGTTTGTTTATCTAAGACAGTGTTACCATTTTCTCTTGTTTCTCGTAGCATTTATACAGCTCAGAACAAATCTCAGCTTGTTCCAGAACATCTCACACTTGTCCCCCAGATCTACCCTCTTACGTCCCTGCACAGATCACATACTTATCCCAGAACAAATCTCACAGTTCGTCCAACAAATCTCACACTTTTTCCCAGAATAAATCCCACTTATCCCAGAATAAATCCCATACTTGTCCTACAACAAATCTCGCAATTTGTCCAACAAATCGCACACTTTTTCCCAGAATAAATCCCACTTATCCCAGAATAAATCCCATACTAGCCCCATGAACAAATCCCACTTTTGTCACATAACAAATCTCAAACTTTGTCCCAGAACAAATCTCACACTTGCCCCACTTTTCCAGAAAAGGTTAATTCCACCTCTCATTCAGCGAGACCTTACATAAACAATTACCCAGAGTTATCCATTAGTTGTCATTTATTACCTCCCTCTATACGTCATTTGTCCTATAAATACCGGCTGTACTATTTACGTACTACAGTTATCTCTCCTAGTCATGTCCAGTTAATGACCGTTAATATATTCCGGCAGTTATGCGTACGTCACTCGAGAATGAATCTTCTCTAGTATCTTTATAGTGACATATCTTAACCCAAACCCGTACTGTATCGTTGCTAAAATCGCCACCCTGATACACACTCTAGCCTTACCTATTAGTAATGTTTTCTTAAATCTATACCCTGGAAGCGTTATGCTGACCACACAACCCCCTCATATGCCGAGGTAAATGAAACAGGTCAACTCTACTTCGTCTGCCTCATGTGTATTGGTTACAAACTGGAAAAGATGGTGACGCTACCCTGAAGCATAACGTAATCCTAAATATATCTTTGCTAGATCTCTACCCTGAAAATTTACCCTAACCCTGGTAACTGAATATATCTTTGCTGAAAGTTTTATCTGTAATGTTTTCTTGAATCTATACCCTGAAAGCGTAGCGCTGACCACACTGTGCACTCGTATGCCGAGGTCATTGAAAGAGATCAACTCTACTTCATCTGCCTCATGTGTATTGGTTACAAACGGGAAAAGATGGTGACGCTACCCTAAAACATAACGTAGTCCTAAATATATCTTTGCTAAATCTCTACCCTGAAGCATAACGTAATCCTAAATATATCTTTACTAAATCTCTACCTTAAAACATAACGTAATCCTAAATATATCTTTGCTAGATCTCTACCCTGAAAATTTACCCTAACCCTGGTAACTGAATATATCTTTGCTGAAAGTTTTATCGGTAACTTACTCGAACCCTAACTATGAATATATCTTTACTAAATCTTTACCCTGAAACAGACCCTATACTATACCTAGACGATAACCCTAACAGTAACCATAACTCAAATTCCAGCCATAATCTAAAACGTGTCCTTGACGCTAGTATTTAACAATAATCCAAACTTAGACTAACCACAAAACCCATCCGAAAAAGAAAAAAAAAACTCTCAGCACTCTACAAAGTTGTCCTGTCGTTATATTTAGCACAACCATTTTCTTTCCATGCAAGTTAAACTGTTCAATTTGAACTTGAAATTCCTCCCCACAAAAGCTTGAAACGTGCTGTAATATAGGCAAGGGCCGATTGTACGGGCCGCTGTTAAATTGACAAGATTTCTTTCCCTTTTTCACACTGGGGGGAAAGCGGGGAGGGAAGGAGGGGAGAGATGAATATTCATCGGGCGAGAATGAATAATTTCTCCCATTTCGTTTCCACATTTCACTGTCTACATCGCTGGGTGCCTATCAACACACAACAAAGATATTTTATTTTCTCTTAATTTTTTTTTTGACGAGAAGATAGGTAGGGGGGCATGTATGGGCGGGGTGGGGAGGGGACGGAGATTTTGTTTTGTCTCAAGGGGGAGTTGTCGGTCCTGTTTATCCAAATATCACGAACTCCGTCCCCTTAGTCCTCCCTTATTATATACAGACGTGAATACAAACACACACACACACACACACATATATATATATATATATATATATATATATATATATATATATATATATATATATATATATATATATATATATATATATATATATATATATATATATATTATATATATACATATATACATATATAATATTAAAATTATTTTTTTTATTTATTTAAATATCCATTAATTACATTAATATATACGCAAATAGATGCATACATGCACACACGCACATACCCTCGTATTTAGATTCGCTTATACTTTTCATCAACATGACAGAACCATTAGGTGTTCGAACGAGGCAAATATTTATGCTTAATTAAATGGAGAAGTTGTTTTCTTTTCTCCGTGGGTTTAGTGACCAGTGCTGTGTTCAATTTTACAAATGTTGCGTGTTTTTTATTTTTTATTTTTTTTTTTCACTTTTTTTTGTGGATAACGGATGAAAGCCACTGTCAACGAATATGCTGTGCGCTATTTGTGCGCTGCTCTTTGTTAACTATCCAATAAACAGATGCAATGCTGCAAGCGCGCTAAGTGTATTAAGTTTAATACAAAACTCGAAAGAAATTCCATGAAAAAAGGTCAAAAAGAAGCGAAACAAAAAGTCAAGATGACGACTGACTTTTTAATGGCTGCCTACACTATCACCTTCCCTCTCGTTGCCATGGTTTCCATTATTCCTGACGCTCGAAACAAAAAACAAACAACAGGAATTCTTCCTGTTTTCAGGATTCAACTGTCAAAAAAAGTTCCAGTTTGAAATGCAAAGTCTGTTTGTAGATAAGAAAATAAATAAAAGCTGGAGTGAAATTAAATGTAATCTGCCTGCTAGCTGCTAACGAGGTGGGGGAGGGGGGGGGGGGGGTGAAGCTCCCCAGCTGACGTCATATCTTCAGGCCGAGAGTTTTAATCTGGTGCAGATGTTGAAGGAAGACTGGTGGTTTTATGTTAGCTCTGATATCTAAACACATTACCTCACATTAGCTCTGATACTTAGACACGTAATCTAACACGCCTAAGCTCATACATCTGAACAGAAAATTAACACAACTTGGATCAAAACTCCTAAAAAAAACGTCATCACTCCTTGCTCTTAGCTCTGCCTTAAACCTTAGCTCAGACTTGTATACACACAACCGTACATACCTTAGTTCAGATACATAAACACATAAGCTCATACATCTTAGCTCAGACTTGTATGTAGATAAACACCTTAACTCTGGCTAAAAACCTAAGCTCTGAGTTGTAAACGCATAACCTCACCTTAGCTCTGACTTCAAACCCACAACTTTTAACTTAAACTAGAACCTCAGCTCCTTAGCTCTGAGTTGTAAACCCCAAACCTCGCAGCTCTAAACGCTGAACTGACATAACCTCACGCTTTTTAAACCAGCCAGTACTATTTTAAAACCAAATTGGCTGCCGATGGTCGTTAGCCAACTGTAAAAAAAAACCTTCGTTTTTTGTGGAGGAAAATAAACAATTGTTTGTTTTTTAAATAACAACACAATTAGGCTTTTCATCGTATATTTCTGTTTACTTTCAGCTCGGGGTTGCTAAGAGGTAGCAATGTCACGTGGTTTAGTTATACACTTCTGGAGACCTAACTGGTACAAATACATAGACCATGTTTGGTATCAATACACATTTTAAAGCGCTCCACTAAAAAATCACATATTCGAGTATTGAGTACCGCTAAAACCGTGTAACTGTGTAATTTGATATTGGTACTTCACATGGAATTTGTACACTATGAATTAAGGTTGGGATAGGTGTGCTTAAGGCTAGTTTAATGTTTAGGGGGAATGGCAGTTGAATTTGGTGGTGATTATCGTTATACTGGCGTACGAAAGAGGACCAAATAAGGGTTTTTAAAACCCTCAGCACCACCGCCCCCATGTTATATATTACCCCCCCCCCCATCTATTAAATACAATTTATTTTTACAATTTACTAACAAAAATAAAAGTGTTATGGAATATATATATGTATATATATATATATATATATATATATATATATATATATATATATATATATATATATATATATATATATATATATATATATATGTATATATATGTATATATATATATGTATATATATATATATATATATATATATATATATATATATATATATATATATATATATATATATATATATATATATATATATATATATATATATATATATATATATATATATATATATAATATGTGGTGGGACATGGCAAATCCTGCCTGTAAAACCGCTAGCAGCAAAACAAATACGTAGAGGTTTTAGTAATTATAGATAGCAATCAAAGACAGCATATTGTTCAGGAGAGCTGGCATCAGTACATCTTTGCCAGCTTTTACGTGTGTAGTTAACACATCCATCAAACACCAAAATCGGTGTGTGTCGTGTGTAGTGTGCTGTGTGTAGGCCCTAGTCTACACACCCATCAAATCACCATCACACATTGCTGTGTGCAGTGTGTTGTCATTAGTCTACGCCCCCTC